TAGAAAAAATACAAAACACAAAGATACTTTCACTTAAAATTAAAGAAATATAGGATACTATTTTTCATCTATCAAATTGGCAAAGATAAAAAACTGATGGTATATAACACTGGCAAGACATTTCACTTACCATTGGGGAAAGTTTAAATTTGGAGGGTAGTTTGGCAAAATCAAAATTAAAAATACATGTATTCTTTGACTTAGTAATTTCATTTTTTAGATTTATCTTATAAATGCACTCATGTATGGAAAGATCTGTGTAAAAAATATGTTCATTGTAGGATTGTTTGAAATAGCTGTAGACTTGAAACAACCCACATGCTTCTCAATAGAGGACTGGTGCCTAATGAACTGGTGTATTCATGTCATGGAATGCTCTTTTAAAAGGATGAGGTATATCTGAATGTGCTGATATTGAATGATCGCTGAGCCAGGGGTGGGAGGTGTGGGATGAATGTGTGTAAAATGTTCCCTTGTGTGTTTGCAAAAAGGAAAAGATTATCACACATATTTATATGCTAATTATATGCCTTAAAATTTCTAAAAGATAATAAATTATTAACAGTAGTTATCTTTGAGAAATGAGACTGGGAAAACATTTTAAGTTTTTTTATTGAACTATAATTCACTTACATACAAATCACCTTTCTAAAGTTAAAAATTCAACAGCTTTTATTATATTCACAAGTTTGTACAACCATCACCATTAACCCAGAACATTTTCATCACCCTAAAAATAAACCCCAAACACATAGACAGTTACTCCTTATTCCTCCAACTGTGGATATCTTCTTTCCCCCTAGTATTTGACAATCGCTAATATTTCTTAATTTGTCAACTCTTGACATTTCATATAAATGAAATCATATAACATGTGGCCTCTATATCTGGTATTTTTCACTTAGCATAATGTTTTCAAGGTTCATCCATGTAGCATCTCAGCATGTCAGTCCTTTTTATGACTGGATAATACTCCATTATATAGATTATACCTCACTTTATATGTTCATCAGTTGATGGACATTTGAGTTGTTTCCACTTTTTAGCTATTGTGAATAATGCTGCTGTGAACTTTTGTGTATACGTTTTAATATAGAAATGTTTTCATTTTTCTTGGGTATATACCTAGGAGTGGAAGGTCATATGTTTAACTTTTGACTAACTGCTCAACTGTTTTCTAAAGCTGTGTACTAATTCCTTATTGTTTACTTTATATATTGTTTGCATTTTTAAAAGTTATTTTTATTTAAAAAATTTTACAATATTTAGTTAGTAAATGCTATGATTAAGAACTGGAAATCTGCCTGGATGGTGTGGCACAGTGGTTAAGCATCAACCCATGAACAAGAGGTCACTGGTTCGATTCCCAGTCAGGGCACATACCTTGGTTGTGGGCTCCATCCCCTGTAGGGAGCATACAGGAGGAAGCCAATAGATGATGTTTCTCTCTATCCCTCTCCCTTCCTCTCTCTCTTAAAAAAAAAAAAAATCAATAAAAACATAGTTTTAAAAAATGCTAATATGGCCCAAAATTTAAAAAAATAAACAAAACACAAAGAATTGGAAACCTGATGAAGATTATAAGGAAACTAGAGGCCCAGAGCACAACATTCGTGCACTGAGGGGTGGGGGGATCCCTCAGCCTGGCCTGCTCCCTCTCGCAGTCCAGGACCCTAAGGGGTCCTTAGTACTGTTGTGGAGGCGGAAGAGGCTCCCACCACTGCTGCTGCATTCGCCAGCCATGAGCCCAGCTTCTGGCTGAGTGGCACTTCCACAGGGGGAGCACACTGACCACCAGGGTGCAGCTCCTACATTGAGCATCTGCCCCCTGGTGGTCAGTGCACATCATAGTGACCTGTCATTCCACAGTTTGGTCGACTTGCATATTAGCCTTTTATTATATAGGATGGGAACTATAAAAGGGTAAAATATTAGTTTAAACTAATCCCCATAGCCTGCTAATTTTTAAGGTTTATGTATGAATCTCTTTTTTTATTATGAACTGATGTGTTCCTTAGAGAAAAAGGAATATAATTATCTTTAAACTTTATGTATTTTATTACTCCTAATTAATCTCAGACCTTGAAAATTTATGTGATTTTTATAATTACAAAGGTTTTTTTCCTAATTATTTGCAGGAAGGCAATAGAAAATGTGGTTAATTTAAATTTTTCTTTTATTTTCAGGGCCCTGGAAACATGAATGGAAGCTATTCATTGGGAAGGTGCTCTTGCTACTTTAAATGACTTTGGGCTTTCTCTTCCTTGATTTCCATTCTATACTCATTTATTACCATTTCAGTTGAATTTTAGGTAAACTAACTACCATATAAATGTACTGCTTATAGAATATCAGAAGATTCATCTTTGTGATGCCAAAATGAAAAGTTGATGAAGTCAGTCCCATTGTATATATGTTCATATTACAGTGATTGATGTAGATTTAAAAGTTAACTTCACATTTTAATTTGTATGATAAAAGAGTTTCATCCTTTCTGGTGTTAAGAGTTCTATAGTTCTTTGTAACTATTTAAAAAGAAATAGCTACTTTCTTCAATAATAATTGGAAAGAAAGTATGATTGTTGGTATATAAATATAGCAGAGATAGTTTTGTACAAAGATATTTTAGTCCTTAAAGTATGAAACTTAATGAAACTGTAAAATCTTTATTTTTCATTTTTTGCTTCAGATTTTCAATAAACAGAGCTCTAAAAGGTAATTTTCTCCTTTTGATAAAAAGTTAAGCTTCACTTTTAACTTTTGAAAATGTTCCCAGTGTTATTCTGTGATGTTATATCAAAATAAAGTTTACATTTGATTGGGAAAACTGTGTTCTTTAAGATAATGTAAAACAGTTATCAAATTAGTAAAATGAATCTGGTTGCTGATAAATATTGTTTTATTTGCTCATTGACTAATTAGTAATTATATCAAAAAAGGGCTTAATCTTTTATTTCTAAAATTAAAATTAAACCTCGGATTGTGTTAATTCTCATTGAGGTTTCCATAGTTTTATTTTAAGGTGAAATGCGAGCAAGCAGAATGTTATCAAATAAACATTGGAGTTATGGAAGTGTATTTTGTAAATTGCTATTGGTTAATAAAATTAATGGTATTAATTACTTTCTTTAAAATTTATAAAATTCTCAAAACTACACATATAACTGAATACTTTGTTTCTCATATCAAGGTACATTTATCGTTTTCTGATTGACCATAATATATCTTGGGGCATCTCATTTATAAAAATATTTGTTGGATACTTGGTTGGTAGAAAGATGAGGAAGTTGGACTTCTAAGAAAAATATACTTGACCAGGAAAAGTAAAATGGAGGTGGGGGTTTTTTCGTGTGTGTGTGTGTGTGGTCTTTTTTAGCATATATAAGATGTAATCTCATTCTTAAAGTCAGAGGTATATTAAATGCCAACATGTTCTCTAAACAGGTCCCAGTATGATATTACAGAGAAATGCCACCTGGCTTAGCTAAACCTTTGCAAATTCAAGAGTGCCTATAGTAGCTTTCTGTGTTAGGCTACATATGTAGCACTCTTTCTTGTGGATTAGAATTGTGTGTGTGTGTGTGTGTTTAAAAAATTTCCAACTTAACAGTTGTAAGAATCTGAATTCCTACATATTTTTTGTCTAGATTCACCAAGTGTTAACAGTTTGCAACATTTCACTTTACCACTCTTTTTATAGTACCAGAGGACCAGTGCACGAAATTCTTGCACAGGTGGGGTCCTAAGGCCTGACAGGAGATCAGAGCTGACCGAGGCCTTCCTTCATTCTGCACTGCCCCCTGGTGGTCAGCGCACACCATAGTGAGCAATAGAACTCCCAATCTCCTGGTCCAACTCCCACGGGGACACTTTGCATATTAGTCTTTTACATATATATAGATTACTTTCTTTTGCTCAATGATTTGAGAGTAGGTTGCAGTCATCTTGGGCCCTTACTCCTAAATACATTAGCATCTATTTCAGAAAAACACAGACATTCTCTTACCCAGCTAGTCATAGTACAATGATTAAATTTCAAAAGTTTAACATTGGTACTATAGTATTATCTAATTTACAGTTTATATTAAAACTAGTGGCCCAGTGCATGAAATTCATGCACATTAAAAGGAAATTAATTAAGGAAATCTACACTAATAAAAGATAAATATGTAAATTGGTCATCACTCCGCTATGCCCACCAGCCAGTCAAATTAACCCAACAAAGATGGCAGCCCGAGCGAAGACTGAAGATGACTGAAGACAAGAGGCTTGGCTTCTCCGCTGCAGCCGAACCAAAGGCCTGGGTCCCGGGTGCCGGAAGAAAACCTGTGCTGGCAGCCAGGGGAAGGAAGGCCTATTGCGCGAATCTTCGTGCATGGGGCCTCTAGTATTTTAATATTGCTATTTGCCCTTTCTCTATAATAGAAGTGTCAGAGATGGAAGAAAATTAGTAAAATGTATATGAAAATCTTCCTGTCAGAGTCTGAGGCATGCCGTGGGACCTAGAGTCAAGTCCCTGCCCCCCCACATGGCACCTCAAAATCACGTGAGACTCAGACCTGGCCGGCCCCAGCCCCATTGGGTGAAATCCAGACCTAATCGACTTCACCCTTGTCAAGCCCTGCCAGGCGGGGGGGCACAGCCTCAGGCCCCCTGTCAAGCCCCGCCGGGTGGGGGGAGCAGCCTCAGGTCCCCCGGTGCTGGGGCAGGGGGCACAACCTGAGGTTCCCCCGTCAAGCCCCACCGTGCAGGGGATGCAGCCTCAGATCCCCCACCCCGGCCCAGCACCACACAGCCTCAGGTCCCTGCTGATCACTTGTTATGGGAACCCTGCCTCTGCTGTGGACACAGCCATCTTGTGATGGCATGATGGAGTGAGGGTCAGTTTGCATATTACCTCTGTATTATATAGGATTTTTGCTAATTGTTACAAAGATGTCCTTTGTTGTGATTTTTTTAGTCAAACACAAGATCACGCATTTCTTTTAAGCTATGTAAATTTTGTGGCTTTGCAACATGTGACTTCTGTTCAGAAATAGAGAATATCCTTTTGACTAATCTGCAAGTTTTATTGAAGAAAAAAAAGATATTTGGGATTTCAAGGTGGCTGCTTTTTAAAAAACCAAATTTACCGTGTAAGAGGACCATTTTTATTTTTTATTCTGAAAACTTTGGCTGAGTTTTGGTGTCTTGACTCAGCAAAGGCTGTCGTTCAGCAAGGCTTGGTAAGCATGAAAGTGGGTACTGAAGCTTTTCCTTTATTTCATAATCCCAATTGTTTTTCTAGAAACCATCAATAGTTTCTAAATGACTGACTCAATTTTTGGATCCTATTCTCATGACCAAGCAAATGTTTGACTTGAAACCATCCCAGTATAAATGTCTCTGTGCCTCTAACTCTGAATCTATTCCTGGATTTCAGCACTGGAGAAACCCATCAAAAATGTCTAAAACTGGAACAAAGGTAAATAAATGATCATGCTGATTTTTAGCCTAACTACATTTTTTTTTTTTACCTAATGATACATTGAAAAAAACATGTAGAAAATCTTTAGCTACTTTCCCTGCTGGTGAGTATGATAGTGTTTAGAAGGTTAGGATAGGGAGAGAAGATTAAGAGATGCTTATTATATTCTCTAACAGAATTATCAAACAGTTTGTTAAGGGGTTATCAGTATGTGTGGTGCTATGTTGAATACTGTACAAGTATATAACATGTAAATACCATGATTTTTGTCTTCCAGAAACTAATATTCCATGCACTTCCACAGGAATAGGAATGCTGATCAGAGGATTATGTAAAGTAGAAAGCTTTTGGTATTTAATGAAAATTTTGTTTTATGAAATTTAGCCTCAACCATTAATATTTTAGAAGGCCAAGGTGGATGGAACAAACAAGAGAATTAAATCCTACATATCCTCTTCATTCAAGCAGTTACTCTAACCCTTTGCCCCAAATAAAGTGCTTATTAAGTTAAGAAAATTACCTATAAATATTTGATTTACAGTTGTTGAACTGGCTATTTGGTCCCGAGGCAGGGCTTTGGGAATGAGGGAATGTACTTTCATTCTTTTTACTTTGAAAACTTTCAAACCCATTGCATCATTTTAGAGAGCACCTATTAATATGTTCTAGAACTGGTTAGTGCCTGGTTATTTTCCTTTTAGAAAATAGAACTAATAATCATACTTGTTATTCAGAAGGAGAAAAATGAGACAGTGTCTTTAGTGCTCTGAATTTCTTGATAATATGCCAAGCACATCCCACTGAGAATGTGCAGTCCTAGAGAGATATCCATGTACCTCAAGGGAAAGCTGTTACAAAATCACCTTAGATGAAAACATCCCTGCTTTCAGAGATTTCCGAAGTAGTAATGGTGTGCTCTCTCATTTCTTGTGACTGAACTTTTGCTTAAGTTAAATAACCTTTGTTTGCTAGGCCAAAGAAGACTGCATCTCTTTCTCTTACTCTCCCTTTCCCACTGTCTTGCTAGCAGTTTAATCAGAGGAGTTAAGGGCTTGGCAGAAAGAACATGTTGTGTTTGTTTTTGTTGCCTCTGGAATACTTGAGACACTTTTCTTTCTGCCACATTGGATTAGTAGGCTATTTTTCAAAAAGTCAACTTGAAAACAAGAGGAATTTTGAAATTTTAGGCAAATCTTCTGCACATTTCTTAGCCTTTTCTGCAGATTCCCCTCCCACCCTGAAGAGTTAAAACCTTCTCTTAGCTGAGCATAGAGTAGACTTCATAGACCTACAAATGGAAAGTGAGTAGATTTGCAACATTCTCTGGGCCCTGAGAGTTTAGAAGGTCTCCCTGAAAGGTGAGCTTGGTCCTGGAGCTCAGTAATAGTTCCATGGCAACTAGTGCTTTGTTTCAATCTTGGGATGGTTAGCTGCTCTGCTGGGAGGTTGGACAGCAAGGTGACCTTGTAGAATATCGTGTATATTTCACTTCTTAGCTATTAATGTCAGTCAGGCACATGTGCAAAGGGCAGTAAATGTGAGAAACAATGAAGGAAAAAGATGATACTAACTTAATTTCCCATAACATATCCCTTGCAAAGGCTCTTTTGTGATTAGTTGGCTGAAAACCAAAGGTAAGTTGAATTAAGGACTTTGGGTCTATCAATTCATAGAAATGTTACCTTGATTTTCCTAAAGATCTTTTCACAGGTTTTGGGAAAAACCCTTCAGACTCAGCATCAGTCTTGTTCTAAGAGAGTAAATTCTATTTGTCAAAAGGGATAGCTGTGTAGGTAGGAAGACAGCAAAAGGGAAAATAAAGTAAAATAAAATGAACCACAGATTACTAACCAGGAATTTGCACTGCAGTCCACTCACTTGCCTGCAACTAACTGGTCACTAGATATTGACCATAAGAAAGTTAATTAACTTCCTTTTCTGTAACAGCTATAAGAAAAGCTTATTGGCAATTTTGAACTAGGTATTATACTAATTACTTTATCTACATTATCGCATTGGACCCTCAGAGCAATCCTGTTCAGTAGATACGATGATCCAGTTTTACAGATGAAGAGACTGAGCCTCAGAGAGATTCAATGGCTTGTTCAAGTCACAGAGCCAGCGGCTAGTGGTGCTGCTATTTTATTTTGTTTGATTTTTATCTGTAAACAGGGGCACCATATATCTTTAAATACTAGTATATGCTGTGCTAAAATGGGAAAAGGAGCTGGAAGAGATGAATTTGGGAAGGGGCAAAAGGAGATAAAGTAGATGATTAGGGGTGGGAAGGAAGCTTTTAGGGAACAGGAAATAAAAGAGATGAAATGGGAAAGGTAAAGAGGGAAGATTAAGGTAGAAGGAAATAATTATTAGTAGGGAACCATCTAGAAAAAACTACATGGGGTGGAAGAGAATGAGGTTTTATGTCCATTTGTGAGTAATTCTTGGTTTCTTCTCACCTTTATTCTCTGCATCTAATTAGTCACCAAACCCTAAATTTCTGTTGCACGTTTTCTTATCATCATTCACATTGCCATTGCCTTTCCATTGGCCCTCATCACTTACCTTGCCCATAACAACCATCTATTTCCAGGTACATCTCCCGCATTATCACCAAAGGGATTCTAGCATGGCTCCTGTGTCTCTTTTCTGCCTTCATTTCCTAATACTTCACAAACACTCAATGTAATGGCCCCTACAAAGGCTCATAATGTCTCACTCCTTTATTCCTTTGAACAGGCTATCCTTTTTCCTTTGCCTGTGGAGAAAACCCCCACTTAGCCTTCAAGCCTCACCTAGAAGATCCTCTCCAGACTAGTTTGCTCTGCTCCTCCTGGTTTTCTCCTTTTAAACCGATAGAGCAAAGAGTCACAAGGTGGCGGCATAACGCCAGGGAATTAACTTCTTATGATGCCTGTGACCTCAGTTTTAAATGATAACCTAGCATTGATTTTGGATTGAGGAATTATAGCCCATTTGGTCTAGTGGTTGTCAGACACTGTTTCATTAAGCCCTGGGTTATTTCTTGTAACTCTATCCCCTATTTCAACCAGAAAAGCTCTGAGTTTTATTTCACAGCCAGGGCGACCAAAGTAGTCTATTTCTTTCATTTGACAAATAGGACTTGGAACCAAGAGATGGCTTGATTAAGGTAGTGGGGCTGATTATGGAGATGCAGCTCTAGAGCCCAGGTTTATTATTTCCAGTTTTGCAGGGCTGCATGTTTTCCAAGGCCATCACAGATCCAAGGGGGTACCCCAAGCATTCTGTTAGAAACTGGGGAAGAGTTTGAAACAGAGAACATTTTGTTACTTTGCAACAATTTTCTTGGCAATAAAATAATACAGAACATAATATGGTATATTTTCATGCTCTGTATCCATCTAAAAAAAGTTCTCTAAAGTTAAGGTCTGTTTATTTTGCCTATGTATCTTCTATTTCACCTAGAATGAATGCCTGCATTTACACTTATTTGCCTTCACCAAACATTTATTGAGGGTCTGACAAGTGCTGGGCACAGCGGTTTTTAGCACAAATGAGGTTTGGTCTTCACCCTTGAAAAAAGTCCACTAGGAGGTCTGGTGGGAGAGATAGACATATTAGTAGATAATTTATTATGTAATGTGGTAAGTACAGTTAGGCGTGGGAATGAAAAGCAGGAAGCAGTGAGCTTGCGTCTGAAATTGCCGGCTTATATTAGAGCACTTTTTGGTTTTTTTATGTAAGCCCTCAGAACGTACTCATTCCTATCGTTGACAACCAAAGTTGTCTGTCAGAAGGTAAATGTTATAAGGTGAAGTAGCGCAAAAATGGAGAAGGAAGGAAATTATGAAGTGGGGAGTATGCTCTTAATTTCTATCTTATGTATGAATGATGCCACCAAACTACTCAGTTCTCTTTGTTTGCCCTGCACTTCAGATTACTTTCTATGAAGACAAAAAATTTCAAGGCCGCCACTATGACTGTGATTGCGACTGTGCAGATTTCCACATGTACCTGAATCGCTGCAACTCCATTAGAGTGGAAGGAGGCACCTGGGCTGTGTATGAAAGGCCCAACTTTACTGGGTACATGTACATCTTACCTCGGGGCGAGTACCCGGAATACCAGCATTGGATGGGCCTCAACGATCGCCTGGGCTCCTGCAGGGCTGTTCATCTGGTGAGCCTGGTGGCACTCTCCCTGTCTCCACGCTTTTTTGTTTTACGTGAAAGTTTTTTTGAGGTTTTTCTACTTCTTAATGGGAAGCTGTCTTTTTTGGCTGTGGAGGCTTACATAAAATCTTAGCTCAGTTCATCATAAGACTGAATACACTAATTATTTCTATAGCACTTTTGCTACCTCTTGAGGATTTTAAGGAATTAAGATTTTAAGTCAGCTGTTTCAGTCAGTGCACAGTGGGGATGGGAGTCTGGATCATCTAGATTTCAAGATGGTGGGTTCTGAACCATCCTGTTCTCTGAGTCTGTGACCTGCTGGTGATTTCCATGATGGTTACTGTTCGTTTCCTTCTGTTTTTTTAGTCTAGTGGAGGCCAGTATAAGATTCAGATCTTTGAGAAAGGGGATTTTAATGGTCAGATGTATGAAACCACTGAAGACTGTCCTTCCATCATGGAGCAGTTCCACATGCGAGAGGTCCACTCCTGTAAGGTGCTGGAGGGTGCCTGGATTTTCTACGAGCTACCCAACTATCGCGGCAGGCAGTACCTTCTGGACAAGAAGGAGTACCGGAAGCCCATCGAATGGGGTGCAGCTTCCCCAGCTGTCCAGTCTTTCCGCCGCGTTGTAGAGTAATGACATGGATGGGCCATAAGCTTCTTCCTAGGGGCCAAACACTGCTGGCCTTGTCATCAAATAGGTGTCATAAATAAAACAATTGGCATGCACTCCACTGTTGACTGTTGCCTCTCCTTAAACACTCTTAGGGATCAAATAGTATCCACCAGAGTGGGCAGTTACACAAAGCAACTAACTCAAAATGGGACTGCATGAAAAAGACTAGAAAATCATAGTGCCACATGTTGCTAATTTTGTGTTAATTTACAGGTACAATAATAATAGCTGCCATTCATTGAGTGCTTTTATTATGCCATTTTCTCTTCACAACAATCCTGAAAAAGAGGTGGTTCATCTGCATCTTATGAATAAGGAACCGGAAGTTTAGAGAAATTAAAAACTTGCCCAGGTTCACCAGCTTGTGAATGACGGGACCAGGATACTTAGGTTTCCAAAACCCTGTTCTTTTCTCTATTTTTAACTCATTCAACACATATTGGCTGGGGATCTGTGTACATCGTGTAAGTACACAACCCTGGGATAGTGTACCTATCAAACGGGGCTATTACTTGAAAATAGTAGTGCCATAAGTCTCTTGAAGTCCTTTACGATCCAGAGATTCCTGTGCCAGTTACCTCTCAACCCTCAGTTCAGTTTATCTGTAAAAAGAAAGGACATGTGAAACAATTTATGCCTGCTTTAAAATAGTTGGGATGGAGTTTTATTGAATTCTTCTTACTTTGAGATTTTACTAGTATTTATTTAGTCTTAAAGGAACTGGGGCATTACTAGTAATGTTTAGTGAATATCCCACTGAACTGGGATACTCTGGATGTACCTATCTTTAGAGAGATGCCAAAGCTCGTGTCTCCTAGGAGTTTTTCCTGCAAAGGACGAGTAGAACAGCCGAGGAACCCCCCTTTGTATTCATTTCGGCCTGTACGCTAGTGTGCAGAGCATGCTCTCCCCTGAATGCTTTTATTCATTTTGTTAACTTCAGCCCTGCCTCCTGTCATTTTTTTCATTTTGAGTGAAGGACTTTGAGAAATTTAAGTGAAACTGAGCAAGAAAGACATGGTACACTGAGGAGGAATGGGAGGCCACTTGCTGAGCTGCAGAGCTCTGGACCTTGTCACCTACCATGAAGTTAACTTTCCTTATCTCCACAATGAGGTAGGTGAGCCAAATGCTCACTCAAGTCCCATCGAACATAAACATTCTAATTCTCTGAAGGCCAGGGCAATGCTGAAAGACTAGCTGATGTCTAAAGACCACTAACATTTATTTTTAGAGGCACAATTTCTGTGAATGACCTTGGAGATCCTGCCTCTCCTTTTCTGCAGAGGATGCTGAGGGGGTAACAGTCAGTGACTGCCAGTCTTTCCTCTCAGACCAACTGCTGCCATGTTCCAGTCCTTGGTGAGCTGGTCACAGTCTGTTCAAAACAAGCAGAAAAGCAGTTCTGGCAGTAGGATAGGAAAACAGGCATCAGGATGACTAACCATGGTCTCAGAGAAGTAGAAGATGGCTTTTGACAAATAAAACAATTATTTGGGGATGTGTTATGCCTCTTGGTTCATACCCTGGTCCAGAAAGAGATTGCCACCATTCTCCCCAGCCATGGACACATTAATCAACTTGCATGTAAAAGGAATTTACTAGCAATCAACATTACAGTGAAAAACACTGTATGTCCTTATCTATCTATCAGTCAGCCCCAGTTCTGTTAGAACATTCTGCCATTACAGCCAAAAGCACCTGTCATGGACACCCATGGGTTGTTATTTATAAGTATTACCTCTCTCTGCTTTTTATTGTTTCGCTGCTCTAAAATGGGGGAGGAGGTGTCTCAAGAAAATAGGGCAATGGCTTACTTAGACCATTGTAGTCCTGTTTCCATTGTAGTCCTGTTTCCATTCTACTTATTCCTCAGACACAAGTCATTGAATATTTCCCAAACATAGAGCCCACTTCCTCAAAATGTAACATCAGGGGCTCTTCTTTAAAGCCTTTATAGTAGTGGAATCTAAAAACAAAACAAATAAAACAAACCCATAGATACAGAGAACAGCTGATGGTTGCCAAAGGGGAGGAGGTGGGGGGTTTGGGAGGGAGTATAGGGGAGTTAAATGTGACCAGTTATTTATTCCTTTATTCAAGGAAAATAAAATTTAAAAATAAAGCCTCCAGGTAGGGTTGCCAGATTAAGTAATGGACAGAATTAGTAACTCCCAAGTCAGATAAGTCAGATATAAACATAGTGTAAGTGTAAGTTTTGGATGGAATATACTTACACTAAAACATTATTTGTCATTTGTCTGAAATATAAATTTAACTGCATTCTGTATTTTTATTTGCTAAATATGGCAATCCTATGCTTAAAGGGCAAAGCAAAGGGGCGACATGGCACTGAAAGGGAGTCAAAGTCTTTCATTGAGTCAGAATCTCCCTGTAAGTTTCAACCTCTATTCTCGTTCTGCTTTTCATTTAATTCTCCATTTTCTTTAGGCAAGCATGTCAAACTCAAAGGCTAACATGGCCAAATAGGTTTAAGTTGATTTGGGCTGCAGAAAAAACAAAAGCTTCAATTTTTATAGAAACGTAGGTTTATTTCAATAGGGACATGCTGAATACAAAGGGCTGAAATAAATAATTGTTAAAATAATAGAACATTTTAATAAAAATTAACATTCTGTATTAAATATTAACTTACCAGACACTGAATAACTGCACAAATTAATAAGCGTAACGCAAATAAACCTACTTTTCTAGTTCTCCAAAAGTGGAATATTTCCTATTGCGCACACCAAACAAGTCAGTACAAGACTAATGACATGGCAATCAGCTGCTAAAACATTCGCTGCTAGTATCATGGAGAGAAATGGTGCATCTGTAAGTAAGGTGCATAAGGGAAATGAATGCAACACGATTATAGTAATATGTCATTAGCAAATGTTGCAGTTCATTATTAATAGTTATGTATGACAGGATATTATAAAAATTTAAGTTACAAAATTTTTATTAAAATGTTTCTTACATACCGTTATATTGGCTGGGCCACAAAAATATTTGTTATGGGCCACATGCAGGCCAGGAGTTTGACAAGCTTGCCTTTAGGTATTTAAAGATGCCTCCTGTTTGCCTCCACACTCCCATTTCCAAGTGGATCAACTCCTGTTCCTTCCACTGTTTCTTGATGTGTTGGCTCCCAGATTCCTCTCCATCCTGTGCTGACTGCAGATGATCTTTCCCACTGTTTCAGCTAAAGTCTGACCAGAGCAGAGGATCTGGGGGATTGTGTTCAGTTCTTCCACCTTTGTTTCTTAGATATATACTGCTTTTTCCTTTTTTAGAAAATTAAATTTATTGGGGTGACATTGGTTAATAAAATTACATAGGTTTCAGAGGTATAATTCTATAGTATATACTGTTCTAGACTAAGCTCAGTTCTCCTTGAACCTTCTCACCAGCCCTGATAATGGGCCTGGTCACCCCTTCCCAGGAACTGGCATTCCAGTTCAAGGAGAAAGTTCCTGTCCCCTCTAGAAAGTTAGAGAGAAATGGATTCAAATCCTGCCACTTCCACATGTTAGCTCTAAGTCACACAATCTAATATGTATACCATTGATTTCCTTATCTGTAAAACAAAGACAACACTTGCTCTGTAGGCATTAAAGTAATGTATGACAAACACATAAATATATGGTCAGTTCTTATTATTTGCAGTAGTTATATTCTTTTTTTAAAATATATTCTTATTGAGAACCAAGATGGTGGGATAAGGTATACACCTATATGTGCTCCCTCTCACAACCACACCAAAACTACAACTAAAAGACAAAATGGCTATCATCCAGAACCATGGGAAAGCTGGCTGAGTGGAAGTTCTACAACTAGAAGGAAAGAAAAAAGCGCATTGAGACTGGGAAGGAGGTGCAGAGGTGTGGAAGAGCAGAGGTATGGAGGTGCGCAAAACAAGCTGGCAACTGGGTGCGCTGTTTTTTTCAATTAGAAGGGAGATACAACCTCCCAACTGCTCTGAACTCCATTTTCTAGTGAGACTGTGGACCCAGATTCCTACCGGGAGAAACTGGACTCTCTGACATCAGTTCTGAAAGCGAGGGTGGCTTTCTCACAGAGGTGCTCGCAGGGACCATTGTTACTGCGTGGGGGTGCAGGACGTGGAGACTCGTAGACACAGAGACAGCTGACTGGCAGCCATCACTGTTTGTTCTGCCCTGGTGATTCCCTGAGACCCCGCCCCACCCAATTTACAACCCCACCCAAGCTGTGGTCAGCAACTTTTGCATATGAATGGCCTGTCCTTTTGCAGCCTAACCTAAAACACTGCATCTGGGTCAGAGAGCTCCAAAAACTTCCAAACCCTAAACGAAGAGGAGAAATCTGCAGATCTCACTGTAGCTCCTGCTGGGTGGCCTCAGGCAGTGGCTTTGCACCTCCTTGGAGATCCAGGAGCCAATGTACCCAGTGGTCAGATACCAGATTTCAACTCCTCACATCCATAAGTGACACACTCAAGAGGCAGACTCAGTGAGCACCAAAGCCCTGAAGCAAGTCCTGCCCCATAAGAGTGCCTCCAGCACAGCAGTTCTTCCACTATAGACACAGCTGGTCCTCACAGCCAATTGGCCTGGAGGTCAATTCCTCCCAGTGATACCAACAGCAATTAAGACTTAACTACAACAAGACTGTGCACCCAGCCCACAAAGGGGTGCACCAAGAGTGTCCCCCTCAGGTGATTGGGGAGGCTGAGACACTGGGCCCTATAGGACATCTACCACACAAAGCCACTCTATCAACACAGGGAAGCAGCGAAAATGCAGAGACAAAGAAACATGTCACAAATGAAAGAAATGGAGGAAAGCAAACTACTGGATATAGAGCTCAAAACCACAGTTATAAGGTTACTCAAGAATCTTCTAGAAACCTCTGAGGAACTTAGTGAGACCTTCAAGGATCTTAATGAGAATGCCAAAAAAATGGAAAAGGATCAGTCAGAAATTAAGCATACACTGTCTGAAATAAAGAATAATATACAGAAATTCAACAGCAGCAGTGGGGTGATGGGGGTGGTGCCT